GCGGGTGTGTGGTTTTTGGGCTGGTTTTAGAATATTTGTTTTTTGTTGCAGGTATTATATATTATGTTCGGAAAATGGGGTTATTTTTCATATGACAATACCAGCGTGGTGTGTATTATGATCACTGTGGGATTGATTGTGTCATGTATTCTGTGCACTGTTGGCAGGATGTGCTTTTAGGATACCTGCTAAGTACGCTGCCAGTGCATTAATTAAAAATTATTTCGATCGTTATATTCGATGTAGCGCCTCACTGGATTAACAAGCGTATTCGCTTGTTAAACAATAGCTTAATTAGACAAAAATTAAAGCCATTGCGTGATCTAACATTAATCGCCATTGGAGTTGTTGTAATGCCATTGTCCCGTTGTTAGTGTATAATTTCCAGGAAATTTGATACCCACAGTACGAGTACCTGTTATTTTGAACAAATTCTTACTCATTAAAGTGTTGCTTGCCACTCAAGCATTTTGACAATCGATCATCTTGGCGAGATTGTCAAAGATGTATCTGGAAGAGACATATCTATCCACAGAACAAAATGTTCTGCACTCATCAAGAATGTTTTGTGCCCCGTGATACATGATTTATTCATGAATATTCAAGGCATGCCGTACTCTCTGATTATTGATCAAAGTACCGATATAAGAGCAGAGAAACAGCTTTGCTGACAGGGTTTCTTGGCATGATATCACTTGATTCTGGCAGTGCAGAAGGAATTTTTAACAATATGGCTACCTTTCTCCGTTCTTGCAATCTTGACCTTGCCAATTGCATTGGGCTAGCTGCAGATGGATGTAGTGTTATGTGTGGGCAAAATAACTCCATAATTACCAGGTTTCGTGAAGTGAACATAGTTCACATAAAATGTATTTGCCACTCAATCCATCTGTGCTCATGATATGCTTTGAAAGCTTTGCCACGAAACATAGAGTTTATGGTTTCTGAAACTTATACTTGGTTTTGTCACAGCACTTTGCGACAACAAAAATACAAATCTTTGTATTCCACTATCAATGTTGGTGATGAACCCCTGAAAACCTTGAAGCTCTCTAATACACGATGGCTTTCAATAGCGCCATGTGTGCAGCGACTGCTGCAGCAGTATGAAGAGCTCAAATTGCACTTTCAAGTGGCAAGAGATGAAGAGAGAAACTACACTGCAGATCTGCTGTATCAGATGTATTCTGATGCAGAAAATAAATTATATTTGATTTTTCTAGAGCCAGTGCCCATAGAATTGAACAGGGTTAACCGGCTGACAAGTGTTCTCCCATAAAACTCACCGATGAAATTGTGACACTATCGCTCAATCCTTTTGCGTGTAGTTCGCCCTACTACTTTTATGACCTGGTTATCAACCATGGAGTATGGCATTGACAATCCAGAAAACCATTTGCTATTTAGGGCCATATATTTTGGCACGAATTTCATTTTATTTGTTGAAGAGGCTACCGTAGACAGAGAAATAGTGAATCGGGTGAAGGAACGGTGCAGAAACTAATTAATGGAGCTGCCAAGAGAGGTGAGGAAGAGGCTGCCAACAAATATGAACAACTTCAGTCGCTCAGTAGTTTGTCTCCATCAATTGTTCTAGGCCAAGCAAAACTAAAATTGCAAGACTTGTCCTTCCTTTCACTATATGATGGAAATGTAGCCATTTTAGAGGAGCAATGGAATCGTATGAGCGTGATGCAATGGCCACACGCTGATGACAAAGATACAGAAGGATTTTGGATAAACATTGCTTATCACAAGGACGCATCAGGGGAGAACGACTTTGCCGAACTCAGCATGTTTATTCTGAGCTTGTTAGCCTTACCATTCAGCAACGCATCAGTAGAACATTTTCTCAAATGAATGTCCTTAAGTCCAAATTGCGTAACAAGATGCAGCAGCCAATGCTGGAGGCCCTTTTACATATATGTAGTATTATGACACGTAATAGCATTTGCTGCAATGAATTTGTGCCGACCAAGACTATGCTTAACAAATTCAACAATGGAATTTATGCTTCCACTTCTAATGAGGAAGATAGTATTACAGAGGAGTTTTAACATTATAAAAGAACAGTTTTTAAGTATCTATTTGTCAATGATTTCTTTCAGTAGACAGGATTATTGAGAAAATAATAGTTTGCCAAATACTATCTGTTGTTGAGCATTTAATATCAATTAGCATTTGTTTGAATTAACCTGAATGACATTAGTTTCCACAAGACCAATTAAAATAATCTTAATAAATGAGCTTCACTAATCTTTTAATAAATGCAATGCTTCCTGATTTTAGTTGTAGGTCACGTGACTTCGGTTTTCTGACCTCGGTTTGGCTTTCGTATGACGCATTGTCTTGCAACACTGAATGGGAATTCGACTTGAACTCAGCCATAAAGGACAAAACATCAATTCAACAGTTACTAACAGCGTAGGAATAACATTTAATTTTGGGCTATTTCCAGTTGGAGTTGGGCGTATTTTGGGCTGTTTTCAGAATTAGATTTGGGCGGGAAAGACAAAAAATACCTGGCAACACTGACTCGCTGGACCGCCGTCACACAATCACCACCAATGGGCTGTAGGTTTGATTGTATATATGTATATGTATATATATACATATATATAAACATTTATATATATTATGTGTGTATGTATGTAAACGCAATTACAATTATATGTATTTATGTATATATATGTGTGTATATATGTATGTAGGTAACGAGTGACCACCGAAAGCCACCAGATGTAATCGTAGGTCATGGGGCGGTCAAATGAAATGGGTCTTAGCTTGCTGGTTTATAGTTGAAGATAGATATGAGACCCCCAAGAGACCCCCGTGTCCCCGGGAGGTGGACGAGGTGGTGGAGCTGGACCCAGTGTGGCTTGGTCTGTCTGCTGTGCCTCTCTCCTTCGTCTTACGCACATGCCCTTTTGTTCGGCGGTTTACTAGGAGGGCGGATGTTTATTCCTGTGCGAAGAGAGAAAGCCGGGCGACGTCTGCGTCCTGCCCAAGGAGAAGGACAGCTGCTTGGACGGAGGTGTGAAGAGTACCATCCGGTCTTGCTACATATTGTTGACAATTTATACATATTTATATACATATGTGTATATATACATATATATGTATGTATACGTATGTATATACATATACTCATATATATACATATATATATGCATATGTATAACCATACACATACATATATACATATATACTTCTATATGTGTGTATGTATAGTGTATATGCGTGTGTATGTATGTATGTATGTATATATACGTAATATACATACACATATATCTGCGTGTGTATATATGTAACCCAGCTATATCTATATCATATTACTATATTCTACATTACACGTTTGTCAGATATGTATCTTTATACTTACAAATGCATATGCATATACTCATGATCATTGCTTTAAATGAATATCCATCTCTTCTTACCACACTTCATTACTCTATAATAAGTGTGTGTCTGCCAGTCTGTCTGTGTGTATGTGTGTCTGTGAGAGACAGATCGCGAGCAGGAATGGCCGAATCACCGCAGTGTAGTTTGGGTGGATGCATACGAGCGGTGTTGAAATCCTTGAGTTTTCCTACCAACATTTAGGGCTACGGTGTTTCCAGACCGTGTTGTCAAGGTATCTAAACCCAGTTGACAACGTGTGGGCGGCCATGTCAAAATGCATGCGGCAAGACCACACTCACAATCGTGTGGCAGTCGTAAATAATGCCTTGCAAACATGGGAATGCCTACGGTGAGAAGAAGGCTATGCCTTAACAGCCGAGTTAGTGGCACCTATGCCTTGGCGCTTTGATTAACTGTATTTTGGCAGCAGGGGGTGGAAATATTAAACTTGACTGTATTACCAGTATTTTTTTTCCTTGTTTTGATCTTCCTGGACTTTGTCATTAGTCAATAAGTAATATAATGGCAGTAATGCTTATGAGTAGGACCTGTCATATCAATCGTCTGGCTATGCCACTTGTCTTCTCCTGTATCATGACGATTGACTTAACATTTAGAAAAAAATGTATAAGAAAGCTAATTGATTAGTGACAAAGCATTAAAACAAATTACCTGCGAATTGATAGCCTGTTTATTTGTAATATGCCACTCAGACCCAAAAGTAGGGGAGGGGGAAATCAGGAGTACCAGCAGTTTCCTAGCGTTAACAACTGTATTTCAAAAAGTATCGTTGTGGTCAGAACGTTTAGCTTTATTTTTAACAAACGTTTTCTGAGTAGCTGTACCTGACTTGGCAGTCAGGACAGCTAAATAGATATGCAACATTGAAACACAAATCATAGTGGCATCTCGTTGGCTGTTTTAAAAGTTTGCAATAGTGTTACAGTTGCTGAAGACAAAAAAATAATTTTATTTGAGGGTAACTGTTTTAGCTGTAAAAGTATTTTCAATTGTTTTCTGATTTCTAAGCTTAATTCCCCCAATAAATGGTAGTTTTACGTATCTATGATCCTTTTTAACGGTTGATACAGTAGGTTGATTTGAGATTTTTTTACATAGAAAGGTCTTATTTTATCATTTATCGGTTAGTTTTGTAATGTCTTTAATCATGTTTTTTCCACTATATATTCTTATTATGTGTTTGTTCACAGTTTGTTTTTTATTACTATTCTTATTTTCTTATGAAAGTTCGAATTATCTCTTATACACCGTTGTTGATATAGAGAACCACTTTTTTCTTTCCTTTTTTTTCTCTTATATAATGCATATTACTTTGGTTCATTATTACAGCACTGACGATGGAGATATGAGTAACCTTCGAAATGTTTAGTAATAAACATAATTACGGCCGTTTTACTCTACCGCTATGTGTGTGTGTGTGTGTGTGCGCATTTATATTTATATAGATATGCATTTGTTTATATGTATGCAATTTATGTACAGTTTATATTCATATACCTATTTATGTGTAACAGGTATATATATGTGTGTGTGGTTGTGATATATTTATTCTTATCTTTTCTACTTTTTTGCAGGCACCCAGCAAGATGGCTGATCCTAAGGATGGTGTCATGTTGGCATATCGGCATTTTATGACCAATGAATATGGACTGCAACTCAATCAACCAGTAACACAACTGAAGAAACTTGACGAAAGGAACCAAATCCAAATACTCGCCATTGGCAAGGAGAATACGAAACCAACCAAAGCCTTCCTGCTGATTGGCCAAACAGGAGCCGGTAAGACCTGTCTGATAAATGCGATGATAAACTACATTATGAAAGTCAAATTTGAGGACAATTCTAGATACACCGTAAAGGACGAAATAGGCACCATGCCGAAAAGCAAGACTGAAAGCCAGACAGAGTTTGTGACTGGTTATCTCATCTATCAGCAACCTGGGATGGCAGTTGATTGCAACTACTTAATCATTGACACTCCAGGGCTAGGGGACACAAGGGGGAGGGAACAGCAGCAAAGGATAAAGAAACAAATGGAAGTTTTCTTAACAGACGAGACATTTGATATCAGTGAACTCCATTGCCTCGGTTTTGTTGTCAATGGAACAATCAATAGGTCTCATGCTTACCTAAAGGAAATTGTCATGGAGTTCGAGTCACTGTTTGGAAACGACACTATTAAAATCACAAAGATTCTGGCAACACACACTGACGATGATACACCAGCAGTCAGCAAAGTCTTAGAGGATATAAATATCAAAGCAGATAAACTATACACCTTTGACAATGGCGTTCTGTATTGTAGTAACCAAGGAAAAAAAGCAAGACTTAGCCAAATGCAATGGGAAATTCTTACTGGCAAGTATGAAGAATTTTTCGAAGACATGTTGGTCGCTAAACCATGCAGTCTGAGGCTGTGTAAAGAAGCCATTAAAGAGAAGATGAATCTTGAGAGATCATTACTGATGTTGAAAATGCACATAGACAATAAAGTGAAGGCCCTATTGCAATGTAGGAACAAGCGAAAGCTGTATGAAGAATACTATACTGCCATGAGATGCAATGAGGAATTTGAAGGTGAAGAAACAATCACTGTGAAAGAGAGATTTCCCATCAATGGGCGTTTCACTCATGCCCATAACTGCCCCGCATGTGAGCAGACGTGTGTATACCCTTGCACTACTTTTAAGTCTGCATTCTGTAGTTGTCCCAGTGGAAATAAAGCTTGTGACTTTTGTCCTTGCAGCAAGAATGACCACAAGAAGGAAGGCAAAACAATCAAAAGCAGACAAGAAAAAAAACATGTTACAAACGAAGAGATGAAAGACAGATATGAAGAGGCAAAAACAAACATGCAGAATATGGAGGAACTTATGGGAACACTACAAGAAGAAACTGACCACCACTACAAGCAAATGGCTATTTACATCAAGACAATTGTCAGCCACATTGAACGAATCAATGAGATTGCAAGGAACCCAAATCGCAAGGCTACTGAAGACTATATTAGTGAGCTCATTGGTAATGTAAAAGAGACGATGGTAAGGGGCACTTCAGATGAATCAGACCGAGAGTACATAACTGAGATTTTGCATGCACTTCCAGAGCAAATAGACCAAATAGTACTCAAAGAAACAAGCAAGAAGACAAGTATAGGTGATCGGTTCAAAGCAATGACTTCTTATGCTAAACATAATTTAAACCCATTTGGAAGAAATGGACAGTAAAATAGAAAAAGAAAAGGAAACAAAAAATAGAAGCAAGAGGTTTCCAAATTTACATTATTCCGTTGCCATTTTATCTGTATTGGGCCATATCAGTATTTCAACGATGGAAAATTGCGATAAGTACATATCTGTGGATAGGATTTTTATAGAGCTTTCTTCTTTTTCTTTCTTTTTTTTTTACTCTAAAGGTTGGGATCGGTAAGGATAAGGGATATTCTTTATTATGAATGTCTATAACTCGAAATCTAAATCCTCCCAAGAAGTTATAGCTGCTGTAGAAATAAGTACATTATATTTGAATCGATGTATTATAACACTAGGAATTACATTTTGTAGATGATTAAACATATGTATAGATATATCATTTCTTTACTGTAATACTTTATCTCTCTTCCTCCCTCTCCCTCTCTTTCCCTCCCTCACCCTCCTTCAGACCCTCTCTCCCCTCCCTCCCCCCCCCCCTCCCCCTCTCCTCTCTCCTCCTGATGGGAAGTCATTATCAAAGAATAAGTAATATGTGTAACAAGGCAAGTATGTTAAGGTATTATTAATGATTCAGTGATCTTCAAGATTTGTTTTCATTCACTAGTATTATTATTCATTATTTTTTATAGTTCTTATTGGTGTTTCCGTGTTATACTCATCTTACATTGTTCCATTTATTATTATTTTATTTGTTTTATTATCTAATCAGTTAAAATATATTTACAGTGTGATTTATATCTTGTCATGTATACTTTGACATTTACTAGGTATATTGTGATCATAAACGTATAATAAACTTGCATTTATTGAA